CCCCCCCCCCCCCCCCTTCCTCCTTTCTCTTCCTGCAACCAGCAAAATTATTTGAAAGAAAACATTACAGGAGGGGGCTATAAAACCTCCCCTCCTTTGCAGAAAATCAGACTACTATGGAAAATTGAGGGAAAATGCTACAAAAAAGTACAGACATTACAAGTGAATTACTAAAGACTAACCAATGAATCTGGGAATCCACTCCACAAACCCCATCAAAAGCTCTACATAGCCGTGAATCGATCCTCAACCAAGATATGGACCGATGAATTTCAGTTTCTAGGCCCTCTACTTTGTCGCCCTTTCTTTTTGCTGCTTCCATTCAGAAACTCTTAAATACCATTCATGTCTGCTAGTGTTCAGAAGGTGGCCAATGATCAACCCAACTACTTGCCCGCTTGCATATCCCATACAGATGACATTCCAATCATTTTCAGTTGGGAATTTTGAATCTTCATTGTCTAAGTTTAAAGGTGGCAGTGGCAATGCCTCAAAACTTCCACATTTCTTCAACAAAAGATCTCCACATAATCTAGAATTCCCATCAAATGAATTGTTTTCAAATGTATCAAATTGATTTCCATGTGGTATAAGCCCCGAGAGATGGTTATGGTTATGAGACACATTCAAGAATGTCAGTTGTGTCAGATGCTGGGGGATCACTCCTGAAAGCTCATTCAGGGAAGGGTCCAGAGCTTGAAGATCCGTTAGGCTCCCTAAAGATGATGGGATGCAGCCTGAGAGACCATTGTTAGAAGGGTTGAGGAACTGAAGCCCTTTTAGATTGCCAATGGATACAAAAATCTCCCCTTCAAATTTGCTGCTCGAGAGATCAATGGCTGCAAAGACACTTTGGATTGCACTACAGTATGTATCAATGCCTTTGTTTCGTATTGTCATTGAAAATGTGTAATTTTCAGAAACATCATAATTCGGCACTGGGTAAGTTGCATCTATCTGTGCATATGTTGAATCCCTCATGTTGCGAAGTCTTGTGCCATTCCAATTCAGGAAGAATGGAGATGGCAACTCCCCCATAAAACCATTGTAAGAGAGGTCTACTGTGTGCAGCCTAGGGAAATCAGTGTGTGATAGGTAACCAGCAATTGGACCATGAAACCGATCTCAAAAGGAGAATCTTCAACTCCGGAAGAGGTCCCAGCCAAAAGGGAAAAATATCAACAATCTGATTGTTTCCAAGATTGAGATGCTCTAACATGGTGAAATTGGCTAAAGATCATGGTACCAACCCATCATACTGATTCTGACTTAGATCAATCACTTTCAATTTGCTTCCTTGGTTGTACGGCTAAGGAATGGTGCCAACAAAGTTGTTGCTTAAATTCAGTATTGTTAGAAAACCACTAAAGCTGCTCAAACAGGGGAATTCAGCCACCCAAATTACTTTTCGACAAGTCAAAAACATAAAGAAAACTCGCATTGCAGAAGGAGGAACTTCCCCAGTCAATGAATTATTCGAGACACGATAGTAGAGTATCAATGGTGGTGGAGTTGGTAGTGATCCTTGGAGCAAGTTGCAGCGAAGGTCTAAAATCCTTAGATTACTCCATGGAAGAACAGCTGGAAATGTTTCAAATCCCGGCAGATAATTGAAACATATGTGTAAATCTACCAATGTCTCTTTACCTACATTCCATATCCATTTGGGTATAAGGCCATGAAAATTGTTCCAGGCAAGTAGTAGGACCTCCATTTCATCTTGAAATTTTAGGAACTCTGGGAACTCACTTAAATTGCNAAGGACCATGAATACCAGAAGTGTTAATATGGGCACAAAGAGAGGAGCTGGGGAGAAGAGAGGGAAAACAGAAAGATAGGATACTGTAGTTAAAAAAAAAAACCCACCTCTATTTAGCCCCCAACAACAGCGGAAATATTGACCTTATTATAGTGTCACTAGTATGGATGACATTGCAGGATGCATGGGATATCAAACTGATAAGGCTTAAGTACACAGGAATTCTATGAGAAGCTTATGATATGGTAACATTTGATACCAGGAACTTATTTCATAATTTGCTAGTTGAAAATTTTAAGTTGAGTGATGTGAATATCCTACATGCAAATTTTGTCGTGCAGACACAATCTTTTTCCGGGATATGATAGGAACAAAAACACTTCCACAGTTCAACTATTGCTTCTTATACAAGANATACTGTAGTTAAAAAAAAAAACCCACCTCTATTTAGCCCCCAACAACAGCGGAAATATTGACCTTATTATAGTGTCACTAGTATGGATGACATTGCAGGATGCATGGGATATCAAACTGATAAGGCTTAAGTACACAGGAATTCTATGAGAAGCTTATGATATGGTAACATTTGATACCAGGAACTTATTTCATAATTTGCTAGTTGAAAATTTTAAGTTGAGTGATGTGAATATCCTACATGCAAATTTTGTCGTGCAGACACCTCAATCTTTTTCCGGGATATGATAGGAACAAAAACACTTCCACAGTTCAACTATTGCTTCTTATACAAGATTTGAGATAAATCAAATAATGTCCGTAGTACATGCTTCTCAACGACAAGGAGTTTCACTTTCAAAGGTCTTAAAAAGTGATATCTCCCTCGAACATATATTCCTTATAGTAACAGCAGATTAAACTCATGATGACACATTAAAAGAAGAGATTATGACAAAAAATTTAGCAAAAGAGCACAACCACATTCACAACATGCATACAGACACAAAGAAAAGATGCCGAACCTGAGATCCATCTGTAAGTCAATGTTTGTATGATTGTCACGAGATCCTTGACATAGACAGGGCAACGAAACTCATCATGAAAAAAGTCCACTCTATCTCCTTTAGCAAGAATGCTATCCATCCACTGCATCATTTAAGCATGGATCATCAATTTTTTTAATAGGAAGTATGGATCATCAATTGAAATCCCAGCAATAAAACGATCCAATTTATAAAAGGTCATATGCGGAAGTCATGTAGTAAAATGGATGCAATTCCATTTCTAGTTCATACATGTTAAGGCCAAGATCATCTTTAGGATGAAGTCATTTTACAGTGCAGTGCAAACCCAATTGACAAGACAAAATGAAAAGGACATTTCATATACACCATTGAGAAGAAAAGATAAAGGCTCAATCCTAGAAAAGACTGTAGATGCGTACCAAAATATAACAATATCAAAATGCTATGTGAACCACACTGGAATGTTTCATTCGCTTTTGGAGTCCACACATTCATTTGCATCATGATTCTTTTCTCATAAGTAAAATTTATTTGTAAAATGTGAGATCGCAACCTAATGGCAAAATAGGAATCAAAAGAACCAGACAAGGTCTGCCTTATGCATATGCACCTGAATTGGGAGTGACTTTGGAACTGGTGAGATGGTCTGTGGTCCAAAGATAATACTGCTTCTCAAAATTGCAAAGTTTGAGCAGCTTGTAGATATAAATTGTTCTGCTGCCACTTTGGATTTACCATAAACATTCACAGGTTCAGTCCCATCTTCTTCTGTATAGAAGGACTTTGTCCCTTCATAAACTGACAAGAAGTTACATCAGCCTTAATCTGGACACAGTAAGAGATGCAACCATGTATGAATTAAAAATAAAGAATAAAAGGTCCAAAGGAGAAAACCAACATAATGTGGTTCTATTCTCGAATAATCCAAAAAGGCATAGTGATGTGCAAAAATAAAAGAAAGTCCTGATAATTGATTAGAAATCCATTGGGCGATTAGCAAATTCAGCTGATGTGGCTAATCGTATTTCCTAAGATAGACTATAATGGTAAGAAGAGGGGAATTGAATGANGTCCTGATAATTGATTAGAAATCCATTGGGCGATTAGCAAATTCAGCTGATGTGGCTTATCGTATTTCCTAAGATAGACTATAATGGTAAGAAGAGGGGAATTGAATGGCTGCTACTAACTTTATCAATTAAGAAATCCAATATGGGTTTATGTTGCTTGATTTAGTTGGAGACATTCGATGAAAATTACTTCCTTTGAATGTGAACACTTCGACCACAGAAATTAGACTATGCAAATAAGAAGGATAACAATATGATGCCGTCCCATAGACATAATTTCCAAACAAATATATTGGGCTGGACAAAATCCTTCGACAGAAATGTGTTCTTTTTTCCTAGTAATAATAAGAGCATTAGGATCATGGATTCAGAGCAATGCAGCAGAGTCTCATCCAGCTCAATCCACAGATTGCAAGGCCTTTTACCAATGTAACCTATGTAGCAATTTACAAATTATACCGCATGTAATTTAGTGTCTGTTACCTTGATCAGTTGACAGATGAATCAAAAGAGTACTGCCCTCGCTGAAGTTTAATAACCATTTTACAAGAGCAGAAGGCACATTAATAGACATGGCCGACGAAGGATCCATCTCACAGGCACGAGGTATGGAAAGTGCAGCGCAATTGATCACCACATGAGGCTAAAATTCAAAAATGGCACACTAATTAGCACATGGAATATAATATGTCTCTTGATATCAGAGTATTGCAAAATTATACATGTACTAGCTGAGTCCAGATATTTATCAAAGGGAATATGCAAATGCTAGCTCAAAATAAGACAAAGAAGTCCAAATTATTGAAATTTACACAAACTGGAAGCTACCCATATAACTGGTCAATACGAATTCAACTGTACAAGGAAATATCAATATGGGTACAATGAAACAATGCAATGAATCTCAATATCACAGATTTAAAAAGGAAAAAAGGGGATCTTTTCCCTCCAGATAGAAAAACTTACAATAGCTCCTAGCCAGTTACTAATCAAAACTTAGCTACTTCATGGTATAAGCCCTATATACATTTTATTTAGTAATTTCACACAGGGCATACTCAGCAGCAAGGCAATGGGATTTGAACCCACTTTTGGAAAGACCAGCCGATTGAGAGATTGGATTAATTACGCCCCTCCCCTTAGAGATTCACTAAACGGGAAGGCAGATGCGACCAATTCAAATGCATTTACACCAACCAATTGTCAGGAAAGTGAAGAATAGTACATTCCAAACGCTAACCAAACCAATGCCCACATTGCCAACAAATTTTGAACTAAGACTGATGATATCCCAGCAAAATATGTGCATATCTTTAACCTAATCCAAATGAAGAAAGAATAAAGTATTGCAGATACAAACATAAATTATACCCAAAATTCAAAACCGAATGAGAAATCCCCATAAAAGATTCAAGGCATTCAACAACAAATCGCAAATAAACAAACCCACTACTGATAAAATGCAAAATCGAAAGGCTGAACATTAGTATTTTCGTAATGAAATTTCAGACCTGGCCAAATGTTTGTGAGATGGCATCGAACCCATGACCAGTCCGCAAATCGACATGGAAAGGGAAACTGTGAGGAATGGCGTCGAGCAAGGCCTGAGGAGGAGGAGTTGAGTGGTAAGTGAATGCTAGATCGTAGGAAGGAGTTGTTTCTTTGATCTCTGAAAANCAAGGCAATGGGATTTGAACCCACTTTTGGAAAGACCAGCCGATTGAGAGATTGGATTAATTACGCCCCTTAGAGATTCACTAAACGGGAAGGCAGATGCGACCAATTCAAATGCATTTATACCAACCAATTGTCAGGAAAGTGAAGAATAGTACATTCCAAACGCTAACCAAACCAATGCCCACATTCCCAACAAATTTTGAACTAAGACTGATGATATCCCAGCAAAAAATGTGCATATCTTTAACCTAATCCAAATGAAGAAAGAATAAAGTATTGCAGATACAAACATAAATTATACCCAAAATTCAAAACCGAATGAGAAATCCCCATAAAAGATTCAAGGCATTCAACAACAAATCGCAAATAAACAAACCCACTACTGATAAAATGCAAAATCGAAAGGCTGAACATTAGTATTTTCGTAATGAAATTTCAGACCTGGCCAAATGTTTGTGAGATGGCATCGAACCCATGACCAGTCCGCAAATCGACATGGAAAGGGAAACTGTGAGGAATGGCGTCGACCAAGGCCTGAGGAGGAGGAGTTGAGTGGTAAGTGAATGCTAGATCGTAGGAAGGAGTTGTTTCTTTGATCTCTGAAAGGCCTTGCAATAGGTGCTGACCTAAGTAGCCTGTGCCTCCGACCACCAACACTCTGTTCCTGCTCATCTCTCTCTCTCTCTCTCTCTCTCTCTCTCTGTGGATGTTACAAATACTGAAACGATTTATAAGTTTAGTTTTCACCAACGGTTGGCTTAGAAGATTTGTCAATCGTTAGAAGAGGAAGCTTCCTTTTTATTTTTCTGCTTTAACAAGGATTCCAGGGGACAATCAGGCTCTTACTCGAGTCAGAATTATTTGGACTGAGTTTAAATTTGATGCATATAAAATTTTATTTAAATTCACCATATTTGGTCGAACTATATTTTTTTTTACTTCGACTCATTTATATATAAAATATATGGGATATTTAAATTTAATATAAATTTTATTTCTTTTGAACTCGACTCAAGTTCAAATTTATTTTTTAAACGAATTAAACTTAAACAAGCGAAGACATGGGCATAGCAGCCACAGGGAAACATATTTGTGGGATCTAATTGATATTATAAGTTTATTCTTCTTGACAAATCTAATCTTTATTAGTATATTTATTTTCTGATTTCTTGGTTAAACATGAAGTTATCAAAGAATAATGTATAGCACCGAATAAAATTACAAGTGTTCTTAATGATCGATTCGAGTCATAACTTAACCCCGCACTTATAAACCCTAAACGGGAACATTGTAAATTACTAAATCATCAACGCAAAAGTCATTGATTCTTGTAAATACCATATAAGAAGTTTTTGATGTTTTTAGTCGAAAAAATATTATGTTTTCTAAATTTTTTTTTATCAAATATTTCATCACAAAAATGATGTCGCACAATCTCTATTACATGTATTAGCATTATTACATTTATGAGTTTATTTGCATTGCAAATCACATGTAGGACAAAGATTATGTCACATCATTATGTGACTTTAATAAGCATAACATTATTCTTCTAATATACTATGTTTGAACAAACGAAAAACTGTTTTTTTTTTTTTTTTGATAATTGAAATGATTTTTTTACCCTTTTACTTTGCATGGATAGCTTTTATTGTAATCCTGTCTTGAAAATGTTCCACGTCATCAACAAAACTTCTTTTTAATAAAATTTATCACATAAATTATTTAGACCATTAGAGTTTCACTATGAAATAGGTCCCCACATCTGCCACCTCCTTATTTGCAATTTATTATTGACATGGCAAATTGTCTAATGTGTAGTACGATAAAAAAGTGAAATGATAAAATATTAGAAGGATGAAAAGTTAAAGGGATAAATAAAATATTCGAATTCGATACGAAAATAAATAGGTCAACTCGTAACTCGACACGACACAATTAGTTAAATACTTAAATGAGTTAAGTTATATTTGACACAAACTCGTAATGACTCAACACGACTCGACTTTATTATTACCCCTAATTTTAGCCA